TATCCCAGTCCTTCTATTATTTTGCATGTACTTTTTGAAACACAACTTGTGCTATACAAAGTAATCAGGCATATGAAGATATAAGACACCATAAGAATCAGCACATGAAATAGGCAATAAAAATATAACTGCAAAGGCCAGGTATTGGAAATATCAAACAAAAGAACTCTTAAATAATTGTTAATTGTGCCCAAGAAGATAAAAAGAAAATATTGAACATTTTAATATAAATTATATTAAATTAAAATTTTGATACACATGATTTCAAAACTACGCAAACTAAAAACCTATATGAAAATAAATCATTTTCAAAACAGAATATAATACATAAAGTCAGAATATTATGAATTGCTTGAATAGATTTTTACATATTTGAGGAGAGAATTAATGCACTAGAAGTATACCAGAAAAAAAATCTAGAGTTAACACACAGAAAGACAAAAAGATAGAAACTACAGAAAAAGTGTAAGATACTTAGTGTTTACAGAAAGAAGCTCCAAATTATTTTTAAGTATACATGTAGAGGAAAAGAGAATAGAGAGGAAACAATATTTGGGAAGCTGCTGGTTGAATTATTTCATGAACTGACAAAAGGGTTTACCCTGCAGATATATCAAACCATGCAAAACCCAAGCCAGAAAATAAAAGGGTGTGATTTAAAGCATAATTGCATGACAGAACTCTGTACTAATGAACAGGTTCTGTTCTGCGTGATTCCATGTGCTAGTCCTAGTTACGTGTGGCCAACAAGCAAGCATTTGAAATGTGCGTAGTGCAACTGCAGAACTGCATTTTAATACAATTTCAATTCACTGAAATTTAAATTGATAAACCAGGCGGTTAGTGGCCATCGTACTGTGCAATGTGTATTTGGAATATCATACTAATACCACTAAAACTCAAAGATAAAAATCTTTAAGAAAATCAGAGAAAAAACACTCAAATAGAGTAAGTTGATACCTATGTTCTCTCCACAAACAAAGGAAATCAGATGACAATAAAATATTCCAAAATAAAATAACTGCAAACTTAAACTTTATTGCTAATAACTATGTACTTCAAAAATGGAGGTAAATTCTGTTACGTGTCTTACTTTAACATACACACATTATGGGAGATGAATGAACATTGCTTATTGGCCATGATTGGCCTTAAACCTTTTGGGATACTGAGTTATTTGTTTCCTCACATAAGAAGTTATCTTCTCGCTATGGTCTCTTCCATTCATTTTGGGGAGAAGATGACCTACCATTCCTGGTACTTTCTTCTACCATCATGTTTTATTTACTAGGTTATATATTATTTTATTTTATTTTATTTTATTATCACTTTTCTGGAAAGTTTTGAACATTAACATCTAATAATTGTATGTCAGGATTCATCCAAGAGCACTTCATTGTAAAGCTAAAAGCTAATGAAGTCAGCAATGGTGACACCTGTAATCCCAGCACCCTGGGGGCCTGAAGGAGGAGGACTGCAAGCCTAGACTAGACTGGGAAACTTAGCAACTAAGCAAGCCCCTGTCTCAAAAATAAAAATTAAAAAAGAAAAGCTCTGGGTTTAATCTCTAGTACTGAAAACCAACCAATGAACAAACCAACCAACCAACAAAAATCCCCAAACTAATGAATGAAACAAATGTTTACTGGGGACAAATACCCCAAACTTTTAGAATATCCCCAAATGTTCTAAGATATCTAAAATTGTATTACTTTAGAACACAAAGATGTCTTAAAACAATTTACATATTAAACAAATTTATTAAAGATATTCAACCTCAGAGAGATTAATTGTCCCATTTAAGGTCCCATGAAGGACTAGAACTAGGATAAGAACCCAGGTCTTCTCTCATTTATGTTTTTCTATATGATGTTATCTCAGAAAAGGACTCTGTGTATACCAGACCCAGCAACGGTATGCACATTTCCTCAAAACCTTCACTAAGTTTAGCAATGATCAACTTTGTAGTTCCTTTAAATTTATGTCTAGTCTTTACTAGAGTATGAAACAAACATTTTCCAGCCAGTCAGGAAACCTGGATTCTTATTTCAGCTGTTATCAGGTGAACTAAAAGTCTTGGATAGTAGCTCTTGCCCTCCCTGAGCCTGTTTATTCTAAAAAGTAAACTATATAAAATGAGCAAAAAGTCGAGGAGGAGCTTGAATTTATTTATTTATTTATTTATTTATTTATTTATTTTTGGTTTTTTTTGTTTTGTTTTTTGGTTTTTCTCCGGTACCGGGAACCGAATTCATGACCTTGCGCTTGCCAGGCAGGCGCTTTTGCCGCTGAGCTAAATCCCCAGCCCCTAGGAGCTTGAATTTAATTATTATCCTTAAATTTTGTCATTTTATTTTAAATATTTTGAATGACTATTTCTTTTCAGTCTGTTCGCTATAAGAAGCAGATTTGAGGAATCTGTCAGACAAAACCTGAGTTTTCCTCAACAGTCGCCATGACTGAGCAATTCACAGTGAGTATTGTGTAGGAACGAACAGAGCCAGTTGAATAAATAAACCTCCAAGAAGCACATCTGTCTGTCCCACGAGGGCAGGCAGACACGGCCTCACTCGAGGAGACCCACTGTTAATATAGAGAGTTATACTCACCTGAACACTACACTACATTTCTACCTTGGGATATTTTATATGGCTCAAATACTTTCTGAATTGAAGCATTTTTTTAAAAAAATGGTCATCAATAGCTTTAATATATAATTATCAGTTCTGGGTAAACACAGGATCCAGGAGGAAAATAATTAAAATTATTTACATACATATATTCTCTCTGCACTCCTCACTTTTATATATTGTAGCCAAACTGGCCAGGAGTTGGATGCCTCTGGTCACAAAGCAGGTTGAACAGCTGTTTGACATTCTGCATTTGACTCTTTATCATTTGGCAGATGGAGATCCCTTGCCGAGGGCACCATTTGGAATGTTTCTCCCCTAAACTGGTATTTTTGAACATGGAATTTAGAAATAAAAGTGAGGCACTGCAAAGCAGTCACTCAATGATATTGCCAAGGGGAAGTTTGATAGACTTATGTCAAAAACTTAACTTTCTGCCAGAAATGCTTAGAGGTTCTCTCCACACTGACTGGGCTGGGGAGGGCATGACAGATTGTGAATGTGAGATCCTTGAAAATGTGCATACGAAAGATGCTCCAAAGACAGACATATGGGTGCCCACTGTAATCTCAGGACTCCAAGAGGCTGGGGCAGGAAGATCGCAAGCTCAAGTCCCGGGTGGGCAACTTGGCAAGTTGATGATCCCTTCTCTCAAAAATGAAAAAAATGGGTCCAGGGATGTAGCTCAGGACAGCTTAGGTTCACTCTACAGTACCACAAAAAAGAAGTGATGATATTAGCTTCAGGTGTTGGGCTAGAAGGAGACATGACCAACCACGAAAAGAGTCCCAATTTATGAGGGTTTAACCTATTTTTTTAAACTTTAAAATGGTGATACAGCAAAATGAATTCAGTAAAACACATACTTTAAATTATGGATTTGGATCTCTTCCTGGGCTGCTGTGTGTGTGTCACCCTCGATCATGGTGCTGCGCAGGGCAGTGAGCTGCAGATCCCGGTGAGCCACACAATCAGGGAGAGGGTCGACGACCGACAGGGTACAGTGCTTCTCAGTGTGCGTGTCTGCAGGTTGTGTTCTGTGTTGTCACATCTCACTGTGTCCACGAGGTGCTTGGCTCTCTTCTCTACCCATTCAACCTTCTGTTTCTCACTTTTCGTCCTACTTGATCTCAGTAAACTACATGAGTTATACACCTCTTCATTATAAATAGGCTTGGCATTAATTTTGCCCAACTGTGGGTTCATGTAAGTATTATGAGAATATTTAAAGTAGGGTAGGCTAAGCCGTGATGTTCAGAAGTGGAGGTAAATCAAATACATGTTCAACTATGATTTTTTCAACTTATGATAGGTTAATTAGGACATAACCCATGGTTAGCTGAGGAATATTTATTTAAGAAAGTAGGATGGAAGAAGGTAAGCTACATAAGGACAGTGAGACACGTTAGGAAGATATAATAAAGGGGCATTAGAGAATTTAAGAATCACTGAAGCAAGATTCATATATTTGAGAAGAGATAAATAAATATAGTAGTTACTGTTGTTACTATTATTATAGAAATGAGAATAATGAAAATAGTTAATGGTTAGAGAGTATTTAGCACAGATGTTCACATTGTTTAATGCTTTAAATACAAATTCTGCATTCATCTTGACAATCATATAAGATGTCATATAAACAGTTTTAACCCAATTTGTGGAGGATGAAGGCGAGCCATAGGGAATTTAAGTAATCTGGTTAAGAACAGACAGATAATATGGAAGTCAAGGTTTGAATCTGTGGTTTAAAACTAATGAATACTTCTAAATTCTTAACTACAAGATATATAAAACACAACAGGGTAGTAGAACACTTTGGAGTTATACATATGTCTTGGCTCCTACATAATTGAGAAGCCAACAAGCCTGGGCAATGAAGATTCCAACAGAGGTGCAAAACCCTACGCTGCCCTCTACAGAGAAGTAGAGGCAGGCCCATGATGACGGAGCTTTTTATTTGGTCCCTTCTGCAGATTCTGCGTCTTCACAAATTCCCCTCTCGTCTCCATCTCGAGAGCAAAGTAGACACAAAGGTGCAGGTATCTTTAGGGTTCCCGGTCCTCTTTAATCATAGCAAACCTCATCGTCAGAAAAAATCTCTTTCTATGTAAAATTAATCACCAACTTTCCCCTTAAAATTTAAACCCATTTCCCCTTCTCTGATCTTTACTGGAGATAGGAGACATATGAAGGTAGTTAACATTCTAATTACTATGGGTTTTTCTTTCCATTTAAAAACTCATTCAAACGTACTTCTGCTAAATCCCATTTTTAAATCTCTCTGACATTAATTACTGATATGTTCAATCTTTCTGACAGGCCTACATTGCCATATTAAATGTACTTTAGTGGCGAGGTTTTTCATCTTACCTCTCCGTTTTCTAAAGGGTGGATCTTGGAATAAAAGGAAGTGCAGATGACCTCGTCGTCTTTGGAATAGGACGGTGGGCCAGTGCGGGGATAAATGTTGTAGCGGGTCAGACACTCCGTGTCTGTCACAGCATGATACTGCCAGGGCTTGTACTCAACATTATCCAGCGAGCGCTCCAAAATCCAGTTCCCAGGACGAGGGGAGTTCGCTGCTTTCACAATCACATAGGCGATCTGGAACACCTGGGGAGAAATAGCCACAACATAGCTTTCAGCTCCAAGGAGTCCTCACAATTTCATGTCAGATACGGTTTAAAGCTAAGTGGTGTAGGAGATTTTATTTCTAATTTTAGATAATAACCCTATCAGGTTCTGTGAAATGATTTGCTATTGCACATTCATATTTAATAACTTTTTGTCATGAAAAATATTTCATTTACAGAGCCATGACTTTAAAGGCAAAGAGCTAATGATAGATTTTAATTCTCTAACAAATTATTGACATCATTTCACCTAATTTTTAAAATTTTATTTTAAAGAGAATTTTAAAAGGAACAATAACAAAATGCCAATAACATAAAACAAAGAGAAAATAAAGCAAAAACAATAAGAATGATATAAGATTTCAGAACAAAATGATAGGGATTAACAGTGGTTGTTATATTACATATTTTTATCTTCATCAAAGTTGGTCAGATTACCAGATATAAGAATGCAAGACTGATTAAACCATTCAAAAGAATAAAAAAAAAAATATTGTAAATAATACAGAGTTTCATCAAACAAGATGATAGGAATTCAACAGTAGTTGTTATGTTGCATATTGTTGTCTTCAAATTAGTTGTTCAGATTACATGATATAAGCATACAAAATTCATCAAAAAAATAAAGCATTAACTGTTCCTTTCAATAAACCGTTAGACATCAGCAGTACAGTTATCCCAGCTATCCTTCTCTATATATTTTTTTCCTTCCTTCTTTCTTTCCTTTTCTCCTTTCTCTCATCCCAGTTGTTTCTTCTTTTGAGCAATTTCTTTCCTTTTCTTAATATCTGTGGTATGTTTGGACCTTTGAACACCATTGGCACTACCATAAAAGATCCAGAATAGTTCCATTTCCCTCAAATTCTGTGAAGTTGTGAAAATAGAAGATTGCTACGTTCTCTCCAATGAGAGAATATCTTAATATCTGTTGAAGTCCCCTTATAATAATTACCATTGAAAGCCTTTGCTATGTACCAGTTTACTAATCTTAGACATTAGGGACAATAAAATAGGCAATAGAACTTTCATATGTGAAGAGTATTTCATAGTTTTGAAACATTTTTATATATATCACTTGATCCTTTAAAAGTATGGTTTAAATGGACTTCTTGTATTACAACAAAAACAACCAAGGGCTTTGGAGGCACAATTTGTGCTGAAATTGTGAGGCAACTGTTTATGTGAACCTGGGAAGATTACTTTTCTGACTCTTATATTCCTTTCCTCCAAATTAAGGTCAAGAATGAGCACACCACTTAGAGACAGTTTGGATTAAGTGGTAACATGTAAAGTTCCTGGTGAAGAACTCCCTAATAAATAGTCAACATCAATTTGTTTACATCCTCAAGTAGAAACAATGGAGAAGAAATTCCAGTGAAATGTGGACAATTGGTTGCAACTGGAACATACTGAATAAAGGGCCTCTGCATTCTTTCTTTACAAGAGCTAAGTATGTAAAAAGAGAAGTATTGTTACTCTAAGTCTATCGTGACAATTGGAGAGAATGTAGCAATCTTCTATTTTCACAACTTCACAGAATTTGAGGGAAACGGAACTATTCCGGATGTTTTATGATAGTGCCAATGGTGTTCAAAGGTCCAAAAGAATAATGAACAAGTGTCGCTAAATGACATTTCTGTGCAATGTGCTGGGTGGAAAAATATACAAGAACTACTTTCAATTACCATCCTACCAAAACTGTGTTGGTAATATATGGTAAAAACGAGGCATGAAAAGAATAGTAGTAAGGAAGCAGCAGGATGTATTCTCGCTTGGTAAATTCCATAAGACTTGGGGAGCTTGACAGCTCTAAAGTCTGGTTTGGGGTCACTGAGAGCGTAACCAGAAGGACAACTAGCAGGACAGAACTACTCCACTACCAAGTGATTAAAGGGGTGTTGTGATGCTAAGGGAATCCTCAAAGGAAAGCTCCAAAAGTCAACTCTGCTTCAGTGTTGTGAAATGAGATCTTTATGACTTCATGTACAGTAGCTGTGGTATACTCCACAGGGCTCAATTTAAAAATATGAAAGGGATATAGACATAGAAGCGATGACACAAGTGGCTTCCGTCTTAATCATCTGACAGCTTGACTAGAATGAGGGCACATGCTCGGCTAGTAGAAGGGGGATCGCCTGCTTTTGACTTATTGAAATTGGTGCCAGTATTTACGTTTAGGGCACAGATGTGGAAAAAGCTGACTGTTAAAATAGTGAAATAGCTTGTGTGATTGATAATAAATCACTGTTGACCAATGACGCAAATACTTCCTCCTCCTTGAGATCCTATGATTAATCCCAGCAGGGACAGGAAGAACCAAGACATCTACTTTTATTTGTAGAGGCCAGGCATCACGAACCATTTAGAGCTTTCATTGATAACAAACAGCCAGATGAAGCACCCAAACCATAGGTTCTTCAACACTGGTATAGGCTTTGACCTGTCTGTTTTGGTGAACAGCACTGCAGGTGGGAAATATGGATGAGTTCGTATTTATAAAAGCACACAGATCAGTGCAGTACACATAGACACTCATGTTATATAGGTGCATGAAAATAGTTGAAAATGCTTAGACTTTGGGAGCAAAGATGCACTCGGACATACTAAAGCTGTCAGCTCTGGGTTCAAAATGAGGCACGAGAGAGAGAGCTTTTACCTCATTCTAATATCCTGCTATAGTCCACTGGAAGGTCTGGTTTTTCAAGTAAAATTATTTTTAAATAAAAATAAGTATCAGAGGGAATACACTTTGGAGTAAGACAGAACATTCTCCATCAACTTCAATGTTTTAAGAATTGTTCATAGTAATTATTTGTTTTTTATAGCTTATATTTGACAACTCAGTCTATCAAACTTTCTTACAGGGAAATTCACTGATAACAACTGGGTAATTATAAGGAAGGCACAGACACTATTGTCTATCCTATAAAATATGGAGCTGTCTGGTTCTAATTGTGGGTAGTCCCAGTGTATTCTTGACAAGATCCTAAAACACCAAAGAAGGTGAATTTCTGAGCACCTACATGGCATGGACTATCGCTCTTACATCATTAAATATCCTATAGTCCTTCATATAATTTTTTAAAATGGTGGGCAATTGATGTCTGTTAGACTTAGCTGAATAACAAAATGACTTCCATATTACTGCTATTACTTGAACACTGACCAATTTTTTATTAGAGCTTGAATCACAATCACCTGTAGCATATTTTGTGATTTTCAGGAACTAACCCATATATTTCCCCACTCTTCATTTTATTATGCCCCCATGAGCTGAAAAATATTATTTAAACTCCTTTACTTGGCACTTTCTAGTGTTTCTTTTCCTAAACCAAATCACAGAAGAGATAATGAACACAAAATACTGCACATTTTTTGGAAGAGAGGATCTGTATCTACATTTTAGTAGTTTTTCTTCCGGGAAAATAAGTTCACAGAGATAGTTTTGAAAAGGTAAAAAACAAAAGAGGGACAACAAAGCCTATTAGAGATTATGGGTGCTCAGAAAGAAAAATAAAGGTACTCAGAGGTTGTGGATAATGAACTTTGTGTTCAGCAAAGTTGCTTGAACTCAGCAAGCAGATACAGAAAGAAAAAATTCACTTGGAGCTACAAGTCAGATTTATGATTGAGGAGCTTCTGGATTGGCTATAGAATAATAGATGAAAAATAATGCATGAAAAAAGTTCCACAAGAAACCCACAGACTTCTCTCATAATTTAATGTAACAGCTAACATTAAGTGACATAGAAAGCCAGCCACTGCTATAGGAAACATTAAAGACTCTCATTTCAAGAGAATATCCCTCTGTCATTTATTTTCTATGGATTCTTTCACATTGTAGGCAAAATTAATTACATTTGTTGGCATGTAGTATTATGAATAAACTTTTTAAAGTGTTGTAAATAGCATTATTGAAAAAACACAATGAACAGACGTTTTCTTTGAAGGCTTCTGAGAATGGCTGGGAACATTTTAACAGTGATTTTCTAAGTACTACAAATTTTCAATGGCCCTAATAAAATAGCTCTTTAATGTTATCTCTGCCGCTTTTATTAACTGTCTCTTATATTTTTGGTATAAAGACTCTTCAAAATCAGGAGTTTTAATACCTTATTTCTAGATGAATGAAGCTCTAATCTCTTATGGGCTTCACAAAGAAAAGCAACCATACCATTATAAAAAGTCCTAAGATTGCTAGGGTTTAATGAATCTAATATAAGATGTGATGTGCAAATGTTTTCCTGTTGGAGGGCACTTTTTATAAAGTTGGTGCCTAAAAACATCCAAAATTGCTCTTAAAATAACACAAAATACCTGAAATTTTTCTACAACAAAGAGGATTTCTTATTTCTGCTTGCATTTGTTACACATCTGAATGTCATCCGAAAAACTGTTATGTAGTTACCTCATCTCTGCAGAGCTGAATAGTATGTATTAACACCTTGACCTCATCTATTGTCTAGTTAGAGAATAGTCTTTCAGAAGAATCTTTCAGTCCCAAAGTAACATACAGTGGTGATGGTCACATAGAGCAAGGCTTTTCCATCAGTTTCACATCCTGCCTGAGGTAAAATGATGCTTATACAGCACTGGGAACAGGAAGACTTCATTGCCTGAAGTAACTGAGGAGCCTGGAGCATTCTAGACACTGCCCTGGGACCGCCACATATAGCCCATGTGGGTAAGTCTTACAAGAAGAAGCAAAGTCTAGCTCACACATTGCTGAATGTGGATTTGAAAAAATATCCCCTGCTATGAGGGAACCCTTCATGCTAGTCCCTTTGTCTTTAGAAGAAGCACAGATATGGAAAGAGTATTGTGCTTCACATATCTCACTTGAGACCGCTGGGTGTCACTGACATAGCTGAAAGAGCCATATAAAGCACAACTCCTTAGTGACATCAGAAGGTCATAGGACCTCTATGTCCTATGTGCTTATCTCCACAAAAGCATAATATCAATGCAATGCCTGGGTGT